GTTAAAGTAATTGTTCCGCAACCGAAACATACTCGACGAAAAGTGCGGTGGATTGAATTGAATTTCTTGTTTCTTTCAACTGATTCTGTTTCAGAGCACCTAAATTTACATCAATTTTTCTAAGTGTGCAGTTTGAAAAAAATCATGTAAATTAAGGTGCTCTTAGAGTGTCATATATGAGCGTCAATTTTGACATACATTTGAGTGAAACGCAACGCGAAATATAGCTTAAAAAACGTACTTTTCGTCGAGCAACGAACTTTTCAGTCTCGGAGAACTTGACATGTTTGTTTACGTCTCATCTTTTATGTCAAAGATGGATTCCGTCAGGTGTAAAATTTGCTATTTCTAAGTGTGTACGAATGCAAAAATGTTGTCCGCTTAGAAAGCTCTTGGTAAACAACTGTTTAAGTATAAAAAAGGAGAAGATATGATACAGGTATTCCACTAAGACGCCCTCATTCATCAGGAACTGTCAACGTTTAAAATTCCAGCCGGGACGTAATAAGCAAGAAGCGGAAGAAGCCTATTTCCGACTGGGTAAATTTGCGATTGATGGCAAACTTACTTTACACTGGAAGTAAAGGCTACGAAGCTGGGGAATTTTCAGTACACTTATAATGCGTACAATCATTATTATCATAATTATTAAATATTTTTTAAACCACGAAAAATCAAAACAAAAATTATTTATTGTAAAACACTAATTTTTAATAACACTAGTTTACAGCATTTTTGAACTCGGTAAGGTGATGATCATTTCCAATGCAAAATCCTACGCTGAATTCAATGCCGTGGTCAGAAAAAATTAAAGTAGAGCCATTTTTGAGATATACAAAATTTTTGATTTTTTGAATTTTGGACAAAAGTACGATTACTAAAATGTCAATATCTTTGAAACTAGTGCACCAATTTTAAATCTTTTTTTATAAAAATGAAGCTAAATAAATTTGCTATCGTTCACTAGAATATTATGTCTTAATTAAAAATTTAATTTTAAAGTCATTTAAAAATTTACAGCATTTTTTTTTATTTTTCCTGCGAATTTTCCATAAAAATCTTGTTTTAATCAACATTTTTAATGGGATTCAAAGATTCAAAAAATCATTCCATAATAGATTCTTAAAGTCCATGCAAAACCGGAGAAAATGAGCCTTTAATGGATGAAATTGGTTGGAAATTGTCCAAGTTATGAGCATTTTTGTAAAACACTTAAAAATGTTGCTGTTTTGGCCAATCTTTTCGGACGTAGTGTTCCTTACGAGCTCGACTGTCCTATTTACACAAAAAAACACATATATTTTGTGTATCCCTGTTGCAATCCAGTCAACATGGCAACCACTTTAAGATCGGAACAAATTTTTCAATTGTGTTGATTGTAATTTATCAAATTGAGCAATAGAGCCATTGATTCATACGTTTCCTTCATATTAACGGCATGAGCTAATGGAATAGAAGGTTTCTCATTCCCTTGATGCAGTAAAACGGCTTTCAAGCTCAACTTGCTGCTATCGATGAATAAACGCCATTCAGCTGGATCATATGGCTCTCCAAACTCTTCAAACAAGCCGTTTACGTCATGGCAAAAAAAGGCCTTGTCCTTTGTAGAATAATATTTGTCAAATTTCTTGTGACGATTCCTGTGACAAGAAATTTTGACCTCCTTGCTCAGCATGTTGTGTTCTTTCAAGCGTGATGCCAGCAATTCGGATTTCTCCTTCGATAAGTCGAGATCTCGCACCAAATCATTAAATTCGGATTGTGTAAACAGTTTTGGGTTTCTTTCCAATTCCACCTCGAAGTCTTCCTCGCATTCCTCCTTGAATTCCTCGTCACTTTTTGTAACGGTCGATTCAACAGAGGGCGCTCGTTTCCGCTTTGGATAAACAGGATACGGGACCGAACTTGAATGTGGAACAGGTTTTGTCATAGAAGCGGTCGACGCCATATGGTGGGCATGTCAAAGGACAAATAGCGACTGACAGATAACAAATAAGTGAGTTAGTAAATAAGACATTAACACTTATCAAAAATAGATGAAGTAAGATAATGTCGATCAGGAAAGAACAAAGCACTACCATGCTGTACATAAATTGTTTATATGAAAGTTATTCAAAAAATCAATTAACCTTGCGCCTGACATCCACCTAGCCAAGCACGTTTTGCACGAACTATATAATACTTTTGGAATCCACGGTTCGTCAAAGTCTCCAGGATCAATTTTAAAATAAAGCCTGTATGCAGTTTGCAACGAAGCAGTGAAATTGACCGATTTTGTAAATATATAGTTGCCACACGCGTAACAAAACTTTTGAGGATCATTTTTACACTTGAATTCACGTTTTGTCGTATACATCGTTAAGCAATTTTAAAGAAAGAAAGCTGTCAAATTGAGTTGGTTGCGTTAGGTTCTCGCCGAGCGGTCTCACAAACACTAGCGTAAATTATATTGTTGAAAATATCCCATTTAATTTTGCGTGACAGCTGGTAGTGTAAGTGAAATGCACCGTATGCGTACACGTCCGCAGAGAGGCTTACTGGAAGTGGTGCATGAACCTAGGAGCGGGACAACGGCCAATCTTGGAACATTCAATTTCCATGATTTTACAAAAAAATTCATAACTTCGACAATTTCCAACCGATTTCATCCATTAAAGGCTCATTTTCTCCAGTTTTTAATGGACTTTAAGAATAAATTATGGAATGATTTTTTGGATCTTTTTATCCCATTAAAAATGTTGATTAAAACAAGATTTTTATGGAAAATTCGCAGGAAAAATAAAAAAAATGCTGTAAATTTTTAAATGACTTCAAAATTAAATTTTTAATTAAGACATAATATTCTAGTGAACGATAGCAAATTTATTTAGCTTCACTTTCATAAAAAAAGATTTAAAATTGGTGCACTAGTTCCAAAGATATTGACATTTTAGTAATCGTACTTTTGTCCTAAATTCAAAAAATCAAAATTTTTGTATATCTCAAAAATGGTTCTACTTTAATTTTTTCTGACCACGGCATTGAATTCAGCGTAGGATTTTGCATAAGAAACGTTGGTCAACCACTAAAGTTCACACTTTTTATGTTGTTTTGTAAACTAGTGTAATTCATTACCCATATCGACTTAACCACCTTGATAGTAAACATAACCTACTTTTATGGTATAAATAGAAAGTATTTTCCACTTTTTCTACTATGGAATGTTCTCATCAGTCCCTATATCTATGTAATCTCTTCAATTCTTCACGTTTATCTTCCGTCTCCAATTCCCACTTGTTACTCGCCGTGGGGACGTGATGCGTCGAAGTTAAAGGCGTGAAACACGTGTCAGCTGTCATCCATTGGAAGAACTAGCACCACCAACAACAGCAACAAAAACAATCACACAGCTACGGTAGGGGAAACGGACAAACTACACGACAAAGATTTATCGATATGATAATCAGGGATGTAAACCGTTGACGTTTTTCACTACACTCGCTTCGTTGTCGTGCGCGACAGTCTGCTTGTAATCGTACTCTCATGCTGTACCGTCGTCTCTCTTACACAACACAAACGGTAGAACAACATTCGAGCAAAAAGAAAATTTTCAAATAACTATCATATGCCATGTGGGGTTTCGTTCTAATTCCTCAATTTGGTGTAAATTAAACCATTTCTGATCAGAAATATTATTACTAGGACATTGTTGCTTGCTATTTTCAGAATTCACACAAGCACAGCATCAGCAGCTCTTTGTTATGAGAAAAACTAAAATACATACATTCGTGACTGTCTTTGACAACAGTGTCGTATGATAGAGCCTATCATATGACATTTTAGTTTGGTAGTGTAATTTGATAGCTTGTTTTGCAACTGTCGCAAGCAAAGGCAGTCGAATATCACAGAAAATGTGTCTACTACGGTGACCACTTACAAGACTGATGATAATTATCTCCACGGGATCGCACAGGTTTCTTTAAACGCACCCGTAAATGATGGAACGGCAATATCTCCTCCGCAGGGAATAAATCAACGCCATGTCACACAATCACACATACGCACACATGCCTACATTGGATTATTGAAGTCGATTTATATTTGTCACTCCTAGGATCGTTTACTATGCTTAACATTTTAAAAGATGCATTACAATGGTTAATTTTTGTTAAAATTCTATATTTTTACAGTCATGTTGTGAAATGTTGAAAATCAGCTAATCAACGTATTTACAATATGTTAATCATGGCATTTGTTAATAGTTCGCTTTGACGTAGACCTTCTTTAACATAAACAATAAACTGTCCAAAGCCCTTAGGAACTTCTACCCGCACGGTTCTTTATATTGTTTCGGCGATTAATAACTTCCGCCTTGTAGTGTGTCTCCACATTTCCCGTACGGTACCTCTGTTATCAACGAAGAATGCGGTTCCATTGTTTTCGAATTTCGTTGTCACGGAACGATGAACCCGAACACCCCGTGATGACTACCTCCACTACTGGGGCCTATTCACAGTACGGCTACTTTTTTTCCAGCTGTGCTTGGCCCAGACATCACAATCATCATCACTCATGTTGATATGCTGGTATCGGTATGCTACCATAAACAGTTTAGCCAAGACTATATGTGTTCATTTTTTATGCTACAGACCTATGTCGACTAATTTCTTGCAAACTTGCCGGAAGATAAGAAACAATACCCATCATCATCACCATCATAACGGGCTGTACTTCGCCGATATCAAAGACAAAAACACATGTGCTGCTGCGATAAGGCCGTAAGCACGAATTGCGTGTTGGTAAAAATTGATAGTAGACGTTTCATTTGAGTGGTTTTGTACCATACTGTGCAAAGCGAGTAAAACACAAACAGCATGCGCTAATATTTTCAAAAACGCTCATGTTTTGAAAGCTGAACATTGATCTTACCTTTTGTCAAAAGAAAAGTTGATACGATTTTAAACCGCTACAAGACGACATCAATCTCATCACACTTTTGTCTATTTCCCATTTTCAGGACCGTCAAGCGCAAAGCTCCTCGTCACATTCCACCGGATTCATTAGTCATTATCGTAGTTCACTGCTCTCTCCCCCCGGACATAGCGAAGGTGCACCAGCTTCGTCTGGTACCAGCAGATCATGTTTCACTCGACTGCAGCGGCCGCGTACTCCGACATGACAGCAGCTGCGGTGGCAACGGGTAATTCGGGTTCCTATCATCAGACGGCCTCGGCAGCCGCAGCAGCAGCAGCCGCCGCCAACGCACCGGTATACGTTCCATCGAACCGCGCACTGAGCCACTCACAGTACGGTCATGCGGCGAATTTTCCGACGCAAAACGGTTGGCCAACGGATGGATTTGGTGAGTGTTTTTATAGGTCTCTAAAACCGGCCATCTTGAAAAAAGCTTGATGAAAATTTTGCGCGAAAACGCGTTATATCTTTCGAATGAAGTACTTTTAATTAATTTGAGTGTTACTGTAGGGGATTAAAATGTCGAAACCTATATATTTGAACCACTTTCATCAAATAGGAGAAATGGCTCTAATGTTGGCCTATGGATCTAAGATTGGGCCCATCGCTAGAAATCTACAATTTATCAATTTTATCCAGATGAACGCATCATTGGGACGGTACTAATGGATATTTTTGGTCGCTATTGTAAATTTAGTCGATTGCTGAATTTATGTATGGGCCCAAATTAGGGGCATTTATATCTCCCGCACAATCATCGACAACATTAATAAAAGCTTTTAAAAATAGCAGAGAAGCATTTTAAAATTTCAATCCCATACTCTGCCATTATAGTACCCATTTATGAGTACAATTTCACCCATTTTGAAGTAAAGTAGCTTAACCTATTAAATGGGTAAAAAAATACCCATTAATACGTAACATTTACGCACTAACGGGTACCAATTACTCATTTATGCGTATTAGTTAACCATTAATGTTAACCTACTTTACTTCAAAATGGATGAAATTGTACCCATTAATGGGTACTTTCCAGTTACAGTGTACACCTTACCGTTCAAAATTTTGATATCCGTACCATTATGCCTTTTTTTTCAAGATGGCCAAAAGGCTTAGTTTTGATGGCCTATCTGCCCATAACCGCTCCATAACATAACAGAAAACTGGAAATGAGAAAACGGCATTTAAAGATTTTACAAGTATTCTCATTTTATACTTATTTTGGAGGGATTATTTTGAAAATAAACGTACAATGTGATAGAATTCATCATGTTCAGTAAAAAATATCGTGAATTTTTATTTTACGACCAAAATCTGAGTGGGACTGACTTGAGATTACATTTAGCGTCAATGAAAAAAATAACCGCAAGTCAGTCACAATACCATGACGATGCTACATTAGTTTAGCATAGTATTCAACAGTAGATAGATACCATGGTCCCATAGAACATCATTGAATGTTTTTGGAATTGTTCCGCTGGTTCCGGAGCAATGGCCGGAACATATTCCGGCGAATATGGGTATTGAGACCATACATTTTCAAAAACGTGCCGAATTCCACCATTCGATAAATCAATTCACATTAGAATTCAAAAAAAAGATCAATAAGAGTCATGATGAGTAACCAGAACCATGTTGGCCACACCCGAACATGTTTTGGGTATCTCCGGGGTAGTCATAAAATCATTTTAAAACCAAATCTATCATGTGACACATCAAATCACATGAGAATTCATAGCCATAACCATTGGCGGTCATATTGAGGATCGTAAGAACTATATTTTCCACATCCGGACATGTTCCGGATAATCTAGAGGAAGAATCTGTCTTGAATAAAATCTCATGATGCGATATGTTGTTTAACATTCTTAATGCAATAGAAGCCAGTTTAAAAAGATAGCTGTGACGTTTTATAGTTTATTTAATGAAATCATTTTGTTTTTTTTTTCCAAATGGACTTTACTTGCGGTTACTTTTCGTTGTGTGACAATTTGACTTGGTATTGTTTTTCATTTTTCTTGGACAAAATACACACTTAGAAATAACTAATTTGACACTCATGGAATCCATCTTTGACATAAATGATGAGACGTAAACAAACATGTCAAGTTCTCCGAGACTGAAAAGTTCGTTGCTTGACGAAAAGTACGTTTGATCAAGCTTTAAGTGTCTCCTTCTTTCCTTTATTTAACGTCGGTCTCTGTTCCGCAATCTAGTGCCAATCACCGACGGACATCGATTGCCATCCATTGACGGCAACCGAATGTGCAGGAAGGCAGCTTCCACACCTGCGTAGGATATCGCACCCATTCACAAACACACATGGGCCGGGACCAACGGCTTTACTTCCCTTCCGAAGGAAGACGTAACCAGAGATTTTTATGCCTCAGAAAAATCCCACCGACCTCGGCTGGGATTGAACCCAGACCCATTGGGGTGTTAGAAAGCAGTCACGCTTACCACTACACCACCGACGCCGGCTCGCTTTAAGTGTCTGTTAGGGCTCAAATTCATGTCAAAATTGACGCTCGTATATTTCACTCTCAGAGCCCCTAAATTTTCATGAATTTTTAAAAGTTTGTACATTTTTTCAATAGCATACCTCAAAATACATAGAAGATACTGAATAAAGATGCTAACTCAAAATTGAAAACCGGCAATATAGTTGGTAGAACATCGTTCAAACAAGGAGATTAGTATAATATTTAGTATAATTTCAAGAAGATAGCATACAATACAATATTCAAGGACAAATTTTCAAATAGACGTAATTGACAAGTGTTCAGTGTCCGGAGGATCAGCTGATTGTGACTTTCGGCAACCGGAATTTATATATTTATTTATTTATTTGTTGTCAATCAGTGTGGATCGTTTTAAAATAGTTGCCTTAAATGCTATTTTCTAATTTTATCAAGTTTAAAAATATATATATACATTAGAGCAACGTTTCTCAATCTATGGGTCGCCAGCCACCAGTGGGTCGTGGGTTGCCCTCATGTGGGTCACAGAAATTCAGACAACTCGATCATAGGTTTTTAAAATTGCTTGCAGAATTTATCTGTTTTTAAAATTATGCTGGGATAATCAATTTCAAGGCCATTTTGGCATTATACAGCCAATTTTTCAAATGCTTGGCCATTTTGACGATTTTGTGTTATTTAAGGGCAATTTTAACGTTTCATGATTATTATAAGAGTTGTCATTTTGTTGATAAGATTTGTACCGTGCCAGCACCATATTTGATGCGTCCCTAATGATGACGCACTCGTCTAATTTTTATCGCATCTCGATTTTGACAAGATATTTTTTTTAAACTTTGTTACACCATCATCCCTAGAACACAGCAACTAATATTTGCAGAAGTAACATTGCAAAAATAATGATTGGAAATAGTCGAACGTTATTGAGTGCGTCGATTTAGGAACCGCTACGAACATGGTGCCTCCACGGTAGGACAATTTATGCAATTCCAGGCCGTTTTAATCTTGTTTAGCGATTGTGACACCTTTTTGGTGTTTTGACGTTTCTAATGTTATATCAGTATTTTCGAGATTATTTTGAGTGTGTTCAGGGCGTTATTAAAAGCCATTTTAGCGCTTAAATGCCTTTTTCGGCCTGAAAGTATGTCTCAGTCGGTTTTGTAACAATGTTGTAAGGTGGGTTTCTAATTAGATGTTTTTGGTACTATTTATGCGTTTAAAGAGCCCTCTCAGTGTCTTCAGATGGTTTTTGAACATTTGAGGCCGTTTTTGGATTTAGTTTTGTCGATTTACCATAATTTTGTACACAGATAAAAATTCTGAATTTTAATTGTGATGTAAACATTCATTCATGTAGACTTGTATTTCATTTCACGCAACCGAGCAACTTGCAAACAATGTTGTTTACAAAGATGGGCTTTTGTATACAATATTTGCTACATTGCATGGAATGTGTCAGAACTTTACATCATATATAATGTAAACGTAGGGAAAAAGACGGCTTCGGCATGACAGACTATTTTCGGCAACCCAAATTGAAACACTATTTTCACTGGATTTTCTTACGAAAACACTTCGCTGAATGCATGCAAACGATTCTTTATGCTTTCAGCTTCAAATTGACTATATTTTTACCACTGAGAAAAAGCAATCTAGCAAGGTTTTCTTGAAATGCAACACACGCACTACAAATTGTAGCTGATTTCGAGTTGCCGATAATAGAACAGCTGATTTACATGCAGTTCAAATGGAACGGTTGCCGAAGAAAAACTGGTTGCCGACAATACTCGCTCTCACTAGAGAAGATTGGAGCTTTGTAAAAGCGTTTCAAAACAGTTTTTGACAATTCTTTCGACTGAAATTGTTAGAGCAGCTGGCAGCAAATGTTTGTAAACAAACCAATACTGCACATGTGTGCGTTCCATAGAGAAAAAGGCTATAGAAAGAAGGTCGCTGCTTAGGTTGCCGAGAATACGTAAATTCCCCTATATGATATGTGACGCTCCATTTATGTGCATCATATTGAACAGAAATTTACACTACTTTTTCGAACTGTGTAGATTCTAGCTATTTTATCTTTCTATGCATTTTTGGGGTGTTTTCACGTTTCAAGCCGTTAAAATGCCATGTTTTTTTTTTGCGTTTTACAGCCATTTTGTAATTTTTAATATCATTTTGGCCTTAGAACATCTGTATTTAATATTGGTGGGTCGCAAGCTTGTACAATACCTAAAAGTCTGTCGCAATCGAAAAATGTTTGAGAACCGCTGCATTAGAGTGTTTCAGCGTTATATGGAAAAAAAATTAAGTTTGAAATTTCAAACGCTACCCTCTGGAATGGTAGCTTGGTGGTTAGAATATATAACTTTCAGGACCCACACACAATTAAAACACTTTGTATTGGAATATTGCAGCATTGTATGGTCTCCTTTTTCAATCACGCACTAAGAAAGATTAGAATCCGTGCAAAAACAATTTCTACTATACGCTCTTCGTAAATAAGGTTAGACATCATTTCCTCTTCCATCATATGAAGCACGCTGCATGTTTATAAATATACAAACATTAAAAGAGCGTCGTGAATACACACCAAAAATTTCTAAATTTTACTGGCGATGTAAACATCCATGCATGCAAACATTCATACATGTAAACTTCCTTTTCACGTAAACTAGCAACTTGCAAGAAATGTTGCAAACAAAATTGAACAGTTGCATACAATATATGGGATATTGCATGACATGTCTCATAAATTTACACGATCTATAATCTAAACTTTTATGATATATGACGCTCCATTTATGTGCATCATAGTAACGGAAATTTACACTACTTTTTTTTTAGCTGTGTATGCAATGTTTTCATTTGTAAACGATATCATTTCGCAGCGCATTGACTCCACAGAACT